AGATGTAGTGTATTTCGTATGGAGCCTCGCCATGCAGTTGAATCGCCTTTACCGCTTAGTGAAAGATGGTTTTGAATGAAGTTTTACCCTTTCAAAGTATACTACGAAATGAGCCGACTCTAATATCAATACGCGACGCAGCCAAATAGCTCACCGCGTCGCCTTCTTGTTCATTCGTTTGCCGCGGTGTCATTTTTTAGTTTTTCGAAGCTCCACTCTGTGCATTACACTACTTCTTTGGAATAATCTTCTTAATGTTCAATGCTTTTTGTAGTTTTTTGCTAAATGTTCCTGGATACTTAAATTCCATTCGGTGAAATTTGCCTCACACGCAACAATGTACAGCCATAGCCTTGACGAACACGGCGGGGGGCGGGATTGGTCCGCAACGTGATGGTTTGACCTCACTACGGGCCTACGAACCCACACTGGGAAGCGATCCGCCGCCTCGCCGATTTGCAAAATGGCTGATAGCCTCTTTCAACTGATTTCTGTCGTCTTCAGTTTTTGAAAACTAGGATTGATCTCATTCCGGCCTTAATAGGAGAAGGTGAGTCTCTTTTACTGAAGCCAGATTTTATTTCGCATGATTTTAGTCAACAATATCGAAGTTAAACGACGACATTCAAAAGGTGTTCAAAAAATGCGGAAATAGGCAGAAGGAACCAATTGTCTATGAGGAAAGCACGCGGAAAAATAATGCAAAAAATGTTCTATTCTTAGCAAACATACCCTTTCCGAATTGAGGTCGGAAAAGAAAATCATACTTACGGCTTTACAAGCTGAATACAGTGAAAATATAACAGAAACAATGCAGAAGTCAGCTGGCTGGGACCGTCAGCAATTATCGATTGGTGTAGTCCAGACGGAAGAGTGAGTAGATGGTGCGGCGGCATGTATTCGAGCGCAGAGTCAATGTCAGACAGCCCAGAGACAACGATAATGATTATCGCCCAGGCTTCCGCCTTTCCACCGACACGCGACCGTCGACCGCTCCAGCGTGGTTGGTGGGACGCCCCACTGTCGGTTGATAATTCCACCGTAAGTGTTACAGTTATCAACCATTCCACGAGATGATTTACACCTGTCAGGTTCTGGTCTAGTACTAGACCGGGGGAACAAGAGAACATAATATGATCAAATTCCTCTTTAGTATACAGCATTTAGTAGGTAATAGTAGATAGTCGTTTTTATATGCGGTTCCGTGCGAAATATAAGTCGTTTTTATATGCGGTTCCGTGCGAAATATACGATGTCTCGGTAGAAGAACTACTTGGTTCGAATTCCAGTTTCTCGAGATCAATCACAGGAGCAAGCATGAAGTTTATTTGGCAAGAATAATTCAACATCGAGACAGGGAGCGGAGCCACGATACCTGGGGGGAGGCATCCCAATTGGCATATCTTCATTTGCAAACTAATGTCCGCCGGTCAATGCCCCTGGTGTGAACAGTGGTAGGCTCAGGTCTGCCCAGCATTAGGGTCAACTATTTATGCATACAACACAATACCATAATAAATGTGTGCAATTACCCCATAGGATTACGTTGTGTGCAGTAGTATATGCTCGCCAAGAGTAAGAACAGAATAATCATTATTTATTTATTTATTCATTATTTATTCAATTCACGCAGAGGTGCGCCTTATACCATTTGAGTTGTAACAAATCGAAGATCTTACCTAACATTAACTTGTGTTAACGATACAATAACTAAAATAGGAATAAAGGTCCTCAGTCAGATCCTGGCCAGAAGAAATGAGAGTTAGTGACAAAGCCAGTCCTTCACCAGTTATAGGAGTATGAATCGGGTCCTCATTGACTCGATGATGTTAACTTCGGCGGCGGATGACGCTGGGGAAAACGTCACTCCTAGATGGTAACCAAACATGGAATAGGAAACTGAATTTTCGGATGTCCAGATATTCCCTATCCCTAACAATTCAGCTTCCTTTCTACCCGCCAACACTGAAGTTGTTCACAAACTAGCTCCTCGGACTGACAGTGCTCCTAGGTGTGGGCTCTAGGTGGTAAATGGCCAGACGGACTGGAGACCTCCCACCTATACAACACGTCTGGTTAAGTAAGATGTAAGATTGCCCAGAATAATTAGGTGGAAAATCAGAAACAAACAAAACAGAAACAAAACACAAGGGGGTTAACATGAAAATTTTAACGGAAAAAAGAACATCGCGGCTTTTCCCTTTTGGGACGCTGACTCGGCCCGGCAAGAGGCGCCGCGGACTAGTGGCAAGTGTCTCGCTCTCTAGCGCGGCAGCATGCGGGTTGCTCCCCACGAATGACAAAAGGGTTTTTTGCTCTTTCTCCAATGAAACCTTTTGTTTCAAATTTCGATATTTCTCTGAAGACCCGGTGAATTTCCACTATCGTCCAAGTTTGCTGTGCCCAATAAAGATGAATGGCTGCGAACTGAGTTTATTCCGATTTCATTTTGCACGGTCTACACAACAGCTTATAGTCCCGAAACTTCATTCAACATTGATGGAATCGCACAATAAAATGTGTGAAGCAAATATGCCGTTCACAAAACGCGCATCTTATTGATGCAGCTTCTCCGCAATCATTGACAAAGCATTTCAAATCAAACATAGATGTCACAGGCCGGTGGCGAACGCTACCGGCATGACTGTCAGTAGCCTTGCACTATACCATGAGCACTTCAAAAAAGTTTGAGACGAGCGCAGAACATCGACTGAGATTTTGTGAAAACCTCATATATTGTCGCCCTGGTCATATTGAAGTCAAACATTGTTTATGCAGCCACCAGGTTCTGACCGCTTCGAAACATTTTATTTGCCGAAGAAGAAAAGATCAGTGGTTGGATGATGAACCTTCGCCAGCTGGGAATGTTGTGAACTGACACTCTACAGCCCCTTTACTAATTATTATACACTTCAATCGAAGCTGAACCAAATCTATCTGAGAGTGTGGTAACAGGGATGTGCTGCACACCTTCGGGTACGGCTTTCCTGATGCTATCGACTCGCGAAGAGACGACCATGAGTCCACAATTAGGTGTGTTGTTTCTTGAACACTGCTGCTATTGAATAGACAACTTTTTATCCAATCTACCATCAGCTCCTTCGTCATTATATGAGACGTGGCCGCCCTGACCACAAGATTTGGAGCTTCGAAGTGCCCATGGCGCGAAATTCTCCGCCTCTTTCTTGAAAACCACGTACAGCTTTTCTCCTAGTCTACCATCGGCATAAAGTATGGGAAGAATGGTGTATGAGTGAGTCATCGCCGTCCTGCTCTCGACTGTTCTTTCAACCTAAAAAACCATTTCAGCCCGATGCTCACAAACTCCTGCGCCTTGCGCTGTATTTCTTCACGGCTTCTATAGTTCCTTTTAGTGACAAATGTCGTTATTTTCCTTGATACAATCCCATAACGGCGTTTGAAGGCCGTAATCCAGGACTGACTGGCCTTGAAGTTCTCAATATTGTTTTGCCGGCACAGGTTGAGCGCCATGAAGCGCAGGTTTTCGTCGTGCAATGTGATTCCTCAAAATTGCGGACATGTCGGAAGGAACATGGTTTCAAAACAGCCAACTAGTAAAAACTATCTACCTGCTGCCAGTTTCTCCTTTCACTTCGTCGTGGAGCAGCTCCGCTATTCTTCTCAACTGCATAGATCGACTACATCGTGCTGCGATGGCATCTTCCCTCTCGTGCTCAATTTTGCGCAGTTTCCTCAAGTGTTCATCATCTTTGATCCATGGAAACCTTCGCTTCATACTCGACAGCGGCGATGACCTTTGAGCCAGTTTCTGTGTTGATCGATTGGCCTTGATGACTAAAACACAAAAAACGGGCGTCGTCTATTTTCATCATATGTAATAAACAGTATCAAATTAAAATGCCCTACATACTTGATCTCCAGTGACAGCCGAATTGCCAAAGAAAACCACATTTTCCTTCCCACAATCAGTTGTGCTGGAGCTGCCTTCATTCCCATCATCACAGCAATCCCAATCTGATTCGACGGAAACGTCTGATTCCAAGCTCTCATCTGTGTCGACTTCAACTTCAGCAGCAACAGCGTCCCGAAGTACAGCGGCGAACCTTGCAGCGAGTTTCTTCTCTTCCCGTGTTGCCAAACTGTTTTCTCCAGGCGTTCCGAATTCTTCAGTAAGTAGAGCGACTACCCTTGCAGGAGAGAAGGACATGGTTAATGAATACAAATCGATAACGCAGCAGTGATTCGACTTGGTTTGCCACGTCAGACATTTGATCTACATGATCTGTTTCGCCACCTTCGTACCGAATTTGAAACAAAATGGTTAGATTGGAGAAAGAGCAAAGACTTTGTCGTTCGTGGGGAACAAACCCGCCATGCTGCCGCCTAGAGAGCGAGACACTTACCACTATGCCACGACGCCTCTTTGCCGGAGCTGAGAGTCAGCGCGCCTTATGTGACAATATCGCCCCTTCAAGCAAGTTTCGACCACCCGGAAATCGTCGGGGAGGTCTCCGTAGCACTTTTAATCTTCATATTCGTAATCAGCATTCGAGACTCTATCAATGTACCTAGGTCTCGATCCAAAGTTCCATGGGAAGTTGAAACCATTCCCTTGTGTCCAAATTCATTAGGCGCTCTCTGTAACTGGGCATACAAACTCAGGTAAGCTGGATCAGGATCGCAGCGATGCACAAGGATTTTCGCGAAGGCTTGCTGTACCTTCTCTATTTTAGCTTGCAACCTTTTTGTATTGGGACTCCACTTGGGACCCATATCCCAGTATGGGGACAACATACTTAGCCTTGTAAAGTTCAAAAGTTTTACGATAGCACTTGAATCCAATTCCAAGAATGGGTTCATGGCTACCCAGATGATCACAATTTGAGGAGAAGCTTCGTGGACTAAGCTTTATCAAAGCATTGAAGGACGTCGAAGTATATTACGTCAATTCCTGCCCTTATTATTAGAATACTCCAATCAAACACACAGTCTAGCTATGATGTACATGTGAAGCTCAGTCACAAAAATCCATGCTGTTCGATGGGAATCATCCTGTTTTTGCTGAAGTACGTTGCCAGCTTATCGCGTATCACTTTTTCCAGCACTTTAACCACAGGTGTGGTTATACTTATGGGACTAATACGCACTGACACAAGAGTGCGCTGCGGATGGTTTAGGGATTAGCAGTTATAACGACTTCCTTCCATAGCGAAAAGGCGACCCCAACAAACATTAAGATGCATTAAGGATCACACAAATGGGCTTATGCAGTAAAAATGCACACTTCTTGCAAATAATCTGAGGAATACCATCGAAAGGACAGAGCAAGAGCTTTTAAATGACTTCAGAATTTTGTACACCTCCTCTGGGGTACAGAGCAAGAGCTTTTAAATGACTTCAGAATTTTGTACACCTCCTCTGGGGTAACTACGATATCAGAAGCGCAAAGTGCTTGAGAGATAAACGTTGATTGGCCGTTGAAGCCAGCTTCTAGCCTAGTAAAAACGAAAAGCGATTACGAGGCCTCTGCTTTTTCGAGGAATCAAGTCGAGAGAATTTGGTACCAGAGACGGTCACAGCAAGCACTGGTATGCTTTGCGCTAAGGCCTTCATTTTTTTTATTCACAAGTGAAAAAACGTTGTCTTTTGTTATTAGCAATACGTTTTTCCTTTGTTTGGCTAGAAATTTCTTTAAAAGATGATCAAGTTCTTTACAAATGCGTTTATAATGGGAAACTGACAAGGGAGAGTCCTTGCAATACGCAGAAAAAGTCGAGTTTTTGAGCCGTCAAGTTCCTAATGTGCCTGATAATGGACTTCGGCCCCCACCACCGCAGCATTCAAAGGCCAACAAGGCGACGCTATTGGCAAAATCCAGCGTGGGAAGAATTACGACAAAATATCTTATAGAGTCGTCCATGGACAAATATCCCTCGAACCACTCCACCAGTTCGCAACGCGAATTAGGTATCGACAAGGCCCAACGAAGATCAGTCTTTTGCAAGGAATTTGTCTTCCCGGACAGGGAAATAACGAATTCAAAGCCAACTGTGTTGTAGGGAGCCCTGCAAAACGGCGAACAAACACATAGATTCTTGATAAATGGACCATTGCTTAATACTATGTCTAGGACTGAGCTTCCACGTGTAGGCTCTTTCACATGTTGTATTAAACCACAACATTTTAAAAACTCCCAAGAATTAGAGACATAAGGACGTTTTGGCTTTTTGCCCAGTGTATTTCGAGGTTGGAAGTCGCGTACAACAAGTGTGGCCGAGGAACATCGAGCAGAGGCGCTCCTATGCAGACTTTCATTGTCATCAGAACGAGAATTGGGAGGGTCAGTGCAACTCTAAACACTAAAGCGGTAAACAAGTCAACAAGTCCCTGGAGACATAGAAGCTCAGTTTCAGATTAGAAGTAGGAATAGTAGTGAAACTGAGTGCATTTTTGGCTATGCAACACACTCCAACACCTCTCTTTCCGCGGCGGTCGAAACGGAAAACGCTGTAAGGCCGACCAGCATAGTACATTTCCGGTATCAGTTTTTAGCGCCACGTTCTGTGATAAAGACTAGATCGGGATGATATAAATCGAGAAACAAATGGAGGTGGTGCAGTTTGTTGCTTAGACTTCTAGAATTGAAGAGATAACATTTCATGCCGGGGGGTGTTCCGTGACGAGTTAGAGGTTTCCCGGCCTTCCCGATTTAGGAAGTTCATGAACGCCTCAACTCGCCGCGGTAAACCACCCAAATCCGTCCATTCAGTGCTACGGCTCTGCATTTCTTTTCGAAGTCGAAATTCCACGACTCAGCTCTGCGAAGCGTCAAAACTTTCTTGCGCCTACAAGTCACGCTCGGCCCCAGCAGCAGAGCGCGCGTAAGCATGACTGTTGGAAAGCGCACGATCCAGTGGCTCTGCGACGAGAGAACACTTTTAGGCGAGACGGTAGGGCCGTGTGGCTTCCCCGGTTTACCCATGCGGTAAACCTCCACTGGCCTACATTCTACACCTAATATATCTAAAACTTCTGTAACCTTTTGATTCCACGTCCCGCTTCTTGCCGGAGGGCGTCGCCTCTGAAGTTGCCTCCGACAACCCGGAGATGACAAGACTCCGCCCCCTCTTATCTGTCTCCAAAGCGTCCGCAATAGTGCCAGGTAATTTGGCCACCAGAGCATTTATAAATTTGGCCATCAGTTCTTTAATTTTTTCGTTGCGCTCTCATTGCTTTGAAAATTTCACTCATAGACATTCCTGCAAATTTTGTCAGTAGGACTCTGATCTACAGCGACGGTATTGCCCGAACCAAGGGCTTGCCAGCTGCCTGTACTGGCGTCGTGCGCGGATCGATTCTGAACGACATAACTAGCCGATATACACGCAGTTGTGATCAAGAAAACACAAACTTATCTGGCGGAGTCGACGTCGGACTTATAAATACCTTCCACTAGAGGTTTAACGAATTGTGGTTATAAATCTAATGTGAATACCACGTCGCAAAAGGCGGTTTTTATTAATCAAATATCAGAAAATACAATGTCAGATAATAGAATCCAACGGCGCGGATGGACGACCGCCTTCAGCCGACGCGAAGCACGCCAGAAATTTTTTTTTTTTGATAATTTCGCGTACTCCCAGACAGAATACTTCGAAATTGGGTGGTTGAACTACTGGTAAAAATGAACATTGGTTAGTAACAGAAAATGGATAGATAGATAGCTCGCTGGATTAGAGGTTGGGAGCAGATCGAGAGAAACTATCCCAGAGGAAGTCAAAAAACGCGAACATGAGCGAATTCCGAAACTTTTGTAGCGTTTGGGGCTTGAAGGCTCGACAGGTAGGTCTCGTAATCGTGGGAGGTCGACACACACATCGATCTTTTCCAAGGTGGCAAGAGAATGGAAGCCAATGTCTAGAGATTTCTAAATCTTCTTTTTATCGAACTATCATGTTTGAAAGTCACGCGTCAACAGTTTTCGCCATATGGAAATTCAACACGATGGTTCGTCAAACGGTGTTTGGTCTCAAATTGTAGCAGGGCTGCCCTGTGGAAAATCGACAAAAAAAGCGAAGTGAAACGGTCAAAAAGCTGCGAAAAAGCTCCTTCTCTAAACGACCCGAGAGAAATTTTAGATGAGCTACCCTTTGGCATCTTGCCAATAACCGCTAAGGTATGCATGTATGCACTGACATGTCCTTGCAGCACAGTATATGCACATCATACCGCATGCAACACCGCATCATATCGGTCCCTTCGCTTCTGAATGGAAGAGTCACGCAGCACCCGCTCAGGTGTGCCGAATATTGTCCTGCTAGGGGTTTTGACCAATCTTGGGGACTTAGGGCCTTGGAGACCGCCTTGGGGACTTATCGGGTCATTTGTCTTGAGGCGATGGATGCAGCATAATGATTCCTTGAAGTAGAATCCCTTCACCACTGTACTACAGCGGTTCCCTCTGACAGTACTTAGCCACGGCAAATCGGTGCTTAGTTTGTGGTGCACGCATGCAGTTCGTGTTTCTACAATTTGCATCTCGGGATGAACGTCTGTTTTAAGTTGGGGTACTGTGACTCATTCTCAAGTTCCTCAATCTGGTCTAGTATTACTCGTTGATGCACCTTTGCTTCTACGTCATGATCTCTGCAAGCAGTAAGGCGTGCCAAGGCGTACCTTTCATCCTGTCGTGAGCAGGTGGAAGGGTGAGAATGTACATCGGCGGTCCCACAACCCGCCCAGGTATTAGGAGGA